AGGAGTCCATGTGCAATGCTTTCAGAGTGTCCTGAGAAAGGGTTGAATTTGTTAACTGCAAGCCTAGGCTAAGATCAGAAATCAGATTATAAAACAAGCCACAGGAATGATTTCTAAGGTCACACTGATAACAATGTGAAGGGCTCTGATTTATTCTCTCCATCTGTGAATATAAAAAATGAGAAGTGATATACGTGAGTTTCCCTATGTTATGAAAAGGATGAACATAGATTTGGTTGGGATTTTTAAGGGGTGACTCTTTCATGCTTTACTGTAATGTATGGATTGCTGTCTCAGTATTGAACATTGACCTGGGTGCAGGGCCTATAGTGCCAGACACACTCTGCCTTTATTAAGTCATAGTTTTGTGAGGAAGACAGAGCGTCTGGCCAATGTTGGGCTCTCATTGGGTGTTGACTAAGTGTTGGGATCAGGTGTAGGGGTGAGTAATAAGACTGTGTGGTATGTTGCAAGGACTTTAATAAAGCAGGAGATGGTATGAAGATGCCCTGGGGCCCCTGCTCTAGTTTTAGAAAACCAGACTTCTATAGGTATGACCTTTCAGTCAGATGTTGAAGGAATTATATAGAGAAGATGGGCTGGAGGAAATAGGCAAGAGACTTGCAGCAGATAACATGGACAAAGAGAGGATGGTGAGGAAGAACAGGCCAAACTTAGAGAATGGGGCTTAACGTACATGTGGCTTTGTGTTGAAAGAAGAGACAGAGATATTAACAAGGGTGACTTCAGGAAAGCCACATCTGCCTACTGCACAGTCCATATATTCTCATTCAGACAGTGGATCTCAAAGTAACATTGCCATGAAACAATAAATGTAATAATAGTAAAGGCATACACAATGCTTGCTGTGTACTTAATGTTTTATGTGTATCAATTAATTTCATCCTCACATAGCCCTCTATGGTGGGATTTGTTCTGTAGTTCTTTTTTTTTTTTTTCAAAATTTATTTAATTTTATAAGAACTGGGTGCAGGCCAGAGGCACGGGAGGGTAAGAAGATTCACCAGAGACAGAGTGGGGAGCAGAAGAGGCAGACTGACTGAAATACACTGCTGAGGGGAGTAGCAGGCGCGTCAGGAGAGGTCTGCTGTGCCATGTGTTTATCTCCATGGCTGGCTGGGAATCGAACCCGCGCTGTAGAGGCTGCGGGCAGCTTCTCAGCACTGCATTCAACCTGCTGCGCCATCGGGGAGGCCCCCCTAGTTCTTCTAATAAGTGACAGAGCTGGGTTTTGAACCCAATTATCTGGCCCTAGAGCCTACATCCTAATCACTTTAGTATATTGCCTCTTAAGACAATGTCAAATTTAGTGTATCTTATTGTTAATAATGATATTTGAAGAATCTAAGTTGGCAAATTATTATTTTTGTAATAAAGTAGCTCTCATTCACTTTCTTACAAACTTCCTAAAGTTGGAGAAAAGAAATGTAGAAACAGCTGACACACTGGGAGGTGTGTATAATTCAGAGTCCACTCAGGACAGTGTTTTACACAGTGACATTATTTTATCTTAGCCTTCATTGTGGTTAAAAGATGGAAACTGCTGTTATAGGGGATCAGGAGTCATTCAGTGAGAGGGATGAACAACACTGGGGATGATAACTAGAAAAAGTAAATATCCTTTATTCCGAGAGAAAATGACATTAAAACACCTCAAGGTGGTATCTAAATATCAGGAATTGTTGATGATGTTAATATAAAATTAAAAACTGGCATATATTTTCCCATCTAGGACTTCCTTATTTAAATTTGCATAATCTTTTGGCTAGATATCATTTAAAGAAGTTTCAATATCCTATATATTACTATGTGTTAACAGATTCAGAAAATGCGCAAGTGTGAATCATCACCATCATCATCATCAAATTACCCCATGTATTGTTCTAAGCACTGAATAAATGTTGATTCATTCAATTCTTGCAACAACTCTATGAGAAAAGTATCTGTATTATCCCCACTTTACAAATGAGGAAGCTGAGTATTTAAAGTTTAACCTTCTCAAGATCATTGAAAGTTAGAAAAGATTTGGTCAGGGATAGCCAGTGGGTTTCCATTTAAGAATCTAAGAAAGCAGAGGTTCATTGGAGAGTTCCTTTTTTAATTCCCCTCAATTCCTCATTTCTCTCTTAATTTACATATAAAGTGATATCCCATAGGACCAAATGATGATGATGATGATGATGATAACTTAAATGCAAGAGCTCTTGAGAGCTTCTAAACATGTTACTATTCATCATTCTCCCTATATGACAAGTGAAGAAAAAGAAACATACACAAGTGGTAAAATTAAATAGCACTCTCAGACCAGTGCACTATCCTCTGTGCTGTGCCATCTCTCGTGGCCTTAGTGGTTTTTGCAGATACCAGGAATCTGAGGTCTTCAGAAACTTCCCATTATGTTCAATTTTTCAGAGGATTGCAAAGAACAGGCTAGTAGAAATCTCTGCATTAAGTATTAGGAATGGACTGCCGCTAACTGCCGCTATGTGACTCTGATTGTGCTTCAGTGTAAGCTATTAAGTCATCTGATTTGTTTGCTAAGTTAAATATTTAAGAATTTTGTAGTTATATCTACCTCTACTAGTAGAATATGAAAACTCATTATAGGTGGGAAATATAAAGAGCTGCCATGTAACTATTAGCAGTATATATAGTTTAGAGAATACAATATGAAAATGAGATAGCTAGCAAGAGGAGGATTTCTAGTACACTTGAGGAATCAAATCTGATATGCAGTGAGAGGGGAATTTCAGGGAAGGAGCCCTGCAGAGAGAAATAGATAGGCAAAAAGAAAAGGGTGAATTTGTCAAGATAGTAAAGAGTAATCCAGGAAGATGAAGAGAGTTCTAAAGGATGTTAGAAAAAGGGAACTTCTCTATAGATACTGAAGCTAGATGGAACAAGGACATATTGGTGGCAGTGATTCCTTTCTGCTTGTAAAACCTGTGATTATGTGAAAGTTAATGAGAAGAAAAGTAAAAGTGAGCAGAAGCTATTAAAAGATGAGAGTTTCCATCCATGTTGCTGCATCTAGCAGTCATTTTCCTAGCACCATTTATTGAACAAACCGTCCTTGTTATTTAAAGGATCAGGAAAAATCAATTAATAATAGTAATAAATAAATAAAATTAGCAGGCAACTATAAATCAGAGACATTCTGCAAGGGAAGAAGCAGAAGGATCAAAACAGGGGAAGGAAGAGCACAAGGGATTATGGTGAAGTGGTGGGAATTTTATGGGGATTACACCTGAGAGAAGAAAGCATACACTGTACAAAAATGAACAAATATATATATATATATATACACACAGAGAGAGAGAGAGAGAATTAGGGCAACATCTAGGATGTGATCAGAGTTGGGATATCCGAGGATCCACTGAAAGGTTTCACCAGCAGCACAGGCGATATTCTCCAGGGTACAGGACTCAGAGCAGAGCTTTAGAAGAGGAATTGGATAGGGTGATTGCTTCAGAGTGCAGCTGAAGTCAGGACACAGTAAAAACTCAGGAATCCTGCTGGAACACTCTGCTGACATATTTGGAGCCACTATTTGTAGTTCATGTTGTATGATACCAGTTGCTCTCCAAGACATTTGCTCTCTTCTCTATCAACTGTCAGCATTAACTCTTCAACTAGTGTGTCTATTGCCTCGCTGGTGACTCATCATCTGCTTCCTCATGTGCTTAATAAAGCAAATCTACTTCCTGTATGTGCATCTGGGCCTCTTTACCCATAAAAGATATTTTGCTTTCAAGAATGACCTAGTATGTGTTACAACCTTCATATCTCTTACTATACACAGTTACGTTTTTTTCTCTTTTCTACCCTGTTTTATTTATTTTTTATAATATTTTATTTTATATATTTCTTACATAATTTTTCATTTTTGCACAATGTATGCATTTTCATTTTGGTTATATTCCCCATACAATTGCACCCCCCCCTTATTTTGACTCTAATCCTTCCTCTCCCCTCCTCCCTTCCCCCGCCCCAGTGTGTCTCTGGTTTATAGTTGCTTGTTGATTTTGATTTTTACTTTGTATTAATTAGTCTTTTTCCTGGTCCCTTATTTAGATTTTCTAAATTCCTGCTATGAGTGAGACCATCCAGTATTTTTCTTTTTCTTTCTGACTTATTTCGCTGAGCATGATCTCTTCTAGCTCCATCCATGTTGCTGCAAACTGCATGTGTTTATCTTTTTGATTGCTGAGTAATATTCCGTTGTATATATGTACCACATCTTCTTGATCCAGTCATCTATTTTGGGGTGTTTGAGTTGTTTTCATAATTTAACTATTGTAAATAGTGCTGCTATAAACATAGGGGTGCAGGTGCCCTTTGGAATTAATGTTTCTGTGTCCTTTGGGTAAATACCTAGGAGTTGGATTGCTGGATCATATGGAAGCTCTATGTTTAGTAGGTCAAGAAATCTCCACACAGCTTTCCATAGTGGTTGGACCAGTTTGCACTCCCACCAGCAGTGCAGGAGAGTTCCTTTTTCTCCACAACCTCGCCAACATTTGTTGTTGCTAGCTTTTTAGTATGTGCCATTCTCACTAGTGTAAGATGGTATCTCATTGTAGTTTTGATTTGCATTTCCCTGATTACAAGTGATGTTGAACATTTTTTCACATGCCTGTTGGCCATTTGCATTTCCTCTTTGGAGAAGTTTCTTTTTAGCTCTTCTGCCCATTTTTTGGCTCGATTATTTTCTTTGTTTTTGTTGAGTCTCATCAGCTCGTTGTAGATTTTTGTGATCAGTCCTTTATCATTAGTGTTGTGTGCAAAAATTTTCTCCCTGTTGGTGGGGTTTCTCTTTGCTTTGGTTATTGTCTCTTTTGCTGTGCAGAAGCTCTTTCATTTGATGTAGTCTCAGCTTACACAGTTATGTTTTTATCTACCTTTCTTGCTTAGAGAAAAACAAGCCCAGTGGGCTATCTTACTAAAACTTGATTAACATTGTTTCCTAATATTTATAGGCAGTGCTGGGACACCCGTCACTTTTAATGAAAACGGAGATGCTCCTGGACGCTACGATATCTTCCAGTATCAAATAACCAACAAAAGTACCGAATACAAAGTCATCGGGCACTGGACAAATCAGCTTCATCTCAAAGCAAGTATCAATATACCTGGACATTAATGTGTATTCTTCTCAGAGGGGTACTTTATTTTTAAGTATAAAGCTCATTTCTTTTTAACTAACTATATATGAATATATAGACATAGCGAAATTTTGATGTTTTCTGTAATACTTGTCCAAGTCTTTGTATACTTTGTGTTGTGTGTGTGTGTGTGTGTGTGTGTTGGGAGAGGAGAGTGGGTGACAGAATGTGCCATGGATGATAAAATTTGTGCTTAAAAATTAAGTGTATTTTACGTACCCCACATCATGAGATGAGGCCTATGGCAGCCTCTGATTGATGCAGGTGAATGGTGATCAGTATTTACATTACCTCTTTCAGTAGCAATACCAGAGAAAGTTAAGGTACCCAAAAGTGGTGTTCAGATGATTTAACAGCCCTGCTGTTACTGTCCATCAGGAATGCTATCAAGACCAAGGCCCATGGATTCTGTTGTTCCGACATGTGGCCCTGTGAAGACAACTTAGAGAGGCCAGCCCAAAGCAGGATCCCAGATGCCAGATGTGGCTAGGCATTTGTCTGCTCTGGTGGTTGCATGCAGTCACCAAAGACTCTGTCTTTTCCTGGCATTGTGGGTGGGGGGGAATGCATGTTAGATAACAGTGGGCAGAGTAACTTGGTCCAATCTGGCTGGTGGGCAGCCCTCCAGACTGATGATGATCCTGAATTTGAAAGATAAGGGAGGGCCAGGGAGCCACAGAACACAGAGCTAGCAGTGGAGATGTGGAGAGGGTGTAGGGGTGGGTGAAGTAGCACGTGCCTACCACTGGATAGAAATTGTTTCACATTTTGACAGCCCCTGGCAGCCTATCAGTGCACACCAGCACCGATGTGTGTGTGTATATGTGTGTGTGTATTCAATATAGGCATGTGTGCTTTCTTGTTTTTGAAATCACTCAAAATACCTCAATTTGATTTTTGAAGAAGATTTATTTTCTACTTCTGTATGTTCAGATATAGCCACCAAAATGATATGTTTATATAGCATCAGTCACCAAAATTCTCAGCAAAGGAGCAATTGTTGAGAAATAAAACTGGGATCTTTATGATTTATCATCTCAAATGACTTCCTGGTAATTATCACATTCTATATTCAATCACGTACAAAGTCAGCTTATATTTCCAATTATTATAGTATGATGGAAGGCCATATATCTATCGTTTACTACATGTAGCAGTCTAATAACAAGCTCATCCATTGTCCTGGAATCCAAATTGACATTTATTGAAACAGAGCCTTGATGATGCTACAAGTTATTGATACCAATCTGAAAATCAATCTCTTTTTGGCAGAAATTCTGTTGAATATGGACCTACATGAAATAGATAATAAAGATAGAAAATAAAATTTGATATGGGTTAAAATAAGGTAGCTACTTTTTAACCTATTAACTTTTATTAATGCCAACAGGCCTTATATATTCTTATGGTTAAGGATTTATATAACAAAATTTAAGGGTTGAAAAATATGTGCACTAATGTGTGACACCTAAAATAATTCTACACACAAGTACACATATGCATACACACGTATCTCTCCACATAACCATGATCTATGTATTATAAAACTTCACGCTGAATGTCAAGCTACATTTTATGTACATTTAATGGTCCATAAAAGTTTTATGTGTATTATGTTATCGATCATAAATTATATCCAAACAATTCGTGAGAATTATTTCTCATGCATGATTATGATCATTTATAGCTAGATAGCAATCCTAGTTATACTGAAACACAGAGAATGCAAATGTCAGAAGAGAAGAGAGTGGATGAGATTGTGGAGAATTTCTAAGTCAAGGGTTGAACATCAGGACCAAAAAAAAAAATGTCCATTTCTCCTTGGGAGTTGCTCTGTCACATGCTTGAAGGTGGAATAGGAGATGCCTAGAAAGCAACCCATTTATTAAGCTGCTTAGATCTTAGGCAAGACTCCAAAACAAATCCCTTGCCTCAGTTTCATCTTTCACAATGAGTAAACATGAGAAGCACCTACCTTATATGATTGTAACAAGAATGAAATGGAATAATCAAACATTTAGTCCAAGACCATAAACACTACCCGTGATTACTCAGCACCTCCTGATTCTTTATGTTCAGGGAGAGATCAAGGAGGTGAGGCGAGAAGTGAATTCTTAGAAGAGTCACTTCCTGGCTGCAGCCTCTCCTGGCCTACTGAGTTTGCTTTGGAAAGTTCACATAGCATCTGCATGTGTAAAATGCTGGCCAATCAATCCAACAGCCAACTCTTTCAGCTCATTTTTAATATTGATCTTAATACTTTAGAAGGTCGATCTTCATTTAAAAAGTACACTTTATGTAAGAGAAATCATGGTTTCTTTGCCTGGAGCACACAGCTAGGACTGGTCAACAAGGGTTTTGAATGACTTTGGCATGTCATTCTCTGCAGTGCTTCCTGCTAAACAAGCATGGGACTGAGAGTGAATCTGTGGGTCCTGCCCTCAGCTGCTCACAGACAAGGCTGCACAGACCCTGGAGCCAGTCATGCCAGTGAAGTGGGGCAGGTGCACCTGCCTGGGCAGGTACACAGAGGAAGGTGCACATGGTTTTTTCCAGGGCAGCCAAAAGTGAAGCTCTTAATCTGCCTGACTGCTCCTGGGGCTCGTGTTGAGGGGTGGGGGAGGATATTTTCCCTGATAAGCCACCTGTTTCTATTCTATCAAATCTAAAACACGCTACATTTCACACTCTCAATGGTAAATGCTTATTTACTATTCTATTATTTGACTGAATTCTGCTTATTTTCAAAGAGCCAGGTTTTTTTTTTTTTTTTGGCTCAATTCAGCCATAGGATGATTTTATACACAGAGAGTGTGTGGTTAGGCATATATGAATGCAGCTGAGCTTCTCTGGATAGAGCTTGGAGTGGAAGAATTTCTACAACATGCAGGATATTCTTTTCTGTTTCCTGGAAAATTATGAGGTATTTCATTCCTCAAAAGCTTTGTCTTTATGGTTCCACATATTACTGCTGCTTTTTCTTTTTTTAATGGAACTAACATATGTTCTCAATTTAGCAATTACAATCATTTAGTATAATTGTTTATTTTGATTTCAGCTTTCTATTCTGTAATCTCAGTCCACACACAAAGGGCGTATTGTCTACCTGAGAGTGAATTTAAACAATTAGGGCTCTCTATTTTGTTAGGCCAAATCTCTCAAGAGGCAGGTGGTCCTTATTAGTGATTACAAAACATATTGTAACCTAGGGGTTCAGAGTAAACAGCAGAGCCTGAACTGTGAAAAGAACAGCCATATGCTGCCTTGAATCCACAGGGAAAAGTGTATTGAGGTTACTGGATAGCTTTAAAATTGCTCTGAGCTCACTTTCCTATACTTGCAACCAGAACTACTTTTTGGATTACTGTAGGAATAAGATGTACATTTTTGTTTGTTTTGCCCCTTTTTATTCAAGTAAATAATTTTAAAATAAATAAAAGTGGCAAAGGACAAAGGCTTTAGAAGAATGTCTCAAACATGATTGTTAGTGCCACAGTGCAAGTTGGGAAAGGTCACTTGAGAAGAGCTTCATTGATCGATTTCAATTTCCAGTGGGTCATTCCATTTGAGAGTAACTTTAGACAAGACACTGAATTCTGAGCCTGTTTTCTCTTCTGTCAAGAAAGACTTATGGGGGCCTCTCTGATGGCACAAGGGGTTAAGTCGCAGCACTATGAAGCTATCCACAGCCACTGCAGTACGAGTTCTATCCCCAGCAAGGGAGCTACCCACATGGCACAGCAGACCTTTCCTATTTCACCCGCTGCTCCCCTCAGCTCCCTTCAATAGCTCTGCCTTTTCTGCTCCCCACTCTATCTCTGATGAATCCTCTCACCCCTACACCTCTGGCCTATACCACAGTTCTTGTATGCATAAATAAATAAATATTTTTTAAAAAAGAGACTTTTTATGAATACAAGACTTATTCTAAAGATTAAATATATTGGGATTTAGTGATCAAGATCAAGACCTCAAGTCAGAAATGTATTTGAATTCCAGTCTTCCATTTATGAATCTTACAACGCTGGACACATTATTTTACATTGATTAGTCTCAGAATCTTCATTTGCATTGAAGCAATCATAGCTACTTTACAGAGTTGGGATAATTAAAGGAAATTGCTTGTAAAAAGATCATAGAACATTGCCTGACACAGATTCAAGGCTAAATAATATAGTAATAATGGTTTTGTTTTGTTGTCTTTTGTCAGTAGAACAAGCCTCCTACAGAGGACATATAATGGGTATTTCAATCTGAAGTTTCATAAATACAAAGTCTTTCTGCCTTTATCCTGATGTCCTGAGTAGGAAACAACTGCAGTAAGAGATGCATATGTCGTGATAACTTGTCTGTGCCTGTACAATAGCCCACAGTATTTATTTTAGTATAAGAAATTGTACTCTCTAAGATTTTTATGCTTCGGGATAAAAAGCTTAAGAAAAATTTCTGGTGGAATTTAACCCATTTAACTCTGTCTTTCCTATGTTCCCGCAGTGTAGTACTTACAATGTGATGTTTTAATTGAATATATGTGTTTCCCTGTAGATACCTCTACTTGCTTGAAATATAAGAGGGAATAATTCTTGATTTTCTTCATTTGCCTCATGGGTTTCCTATTTTACATAAACATCAGAAGTTTTCAACCCAAATTGTTAAGTTCATTAATTTCTTTGAGGAATAGCTTTTCTATAATGGAGGATTTTTTTTAAAAGATTTTTATTTATTTATACAAGAACTGGGGTACACGTCAGAAGCATAGGAGGGTGAGAGAATTCACCAGAGCCAGAGCAGGGAGCAGAGCAGGCAGACTGACCGAGGACACTGCTGAGGGGAGCAGCGGGTGAGGCAGGAGAGGTCTGCCAAAGCCATATGGGGTTCTCCCTGGCTGGCGGGGAATCAAACCAGCACTGCAGAGACTGCGGGCAGCTTTGCAGCGTGGCTCTCAACCAGT